AACACGAAATATCAGTTTGCTACAAGTTGCGGCAGAATTGTGCGATTTTGACGCAAACTATGTAATTCCGTGCAAATGACCTCAACGAAGCTTCTCTTGAACCTGAATGATGTTTACCATGCCTTGATAATCATCCAAGCTTCGATTTGCTTGTTGTATGTTGTTTTCAACCCAGATATGCTCAATAAGGCCATTTAAAGCTTCACGCATCTTCTTAGCTCTAGCTCGCGTGACTGGACCTCCTTGGGTGTGTAATGGATCACATGACGTAGTAGATATGCTGTCGTCTTGATTCCCATCAGGACCTCTTATGCCTTACATATATGGTAAAAGATTGATAAATGATGGACAATTATCCTGAACAAATCTATAGCAAGCAAGGATCAATTCGAATATAATACAAAATTGATAATTGTCAATGTTGAATGATAAAAAAGAAAATGGAATGGATAAAAATTAGGAAAGGAAAGTAAAGGGAAGAGAAGGAAATGAAAAGAATTAGTATTAATCTTGTTTGGATAAAATAAAAACAAAAAAGGTGGAGTAATATTTTTATTTAATTGAATAATTTAAAGAAAAATATAATATAATATAATATTTTAATTTTATTAAATAAATAAATAATTGAAATAAAAAAATATATATATGTTTTTAAAAAAATTTAAAAAAATAAATAAATTGACAAATAATCTATCACAATCCTCCCGCTTGGAGGGATGAAAAAAAGAGTAAAGGAGGCTCCATCTCTTTTCTCTCTTGTTAAAAAATTAATCCAAACAAAAGAATGAGGCATATCCCCCTCACTCTTGTCTCCTAGTCCTTGAAATCTCCCAATCCAAATGCACCGTTAAAGTTGAGCATGCCTTTCAATGTGAGACCTATTGAAATATATGGATTACAGTGAGATTATGTGATGGGTATCAAGATGACCCCACATGTACCACGTCAAGAGAGCCATTACATATATTCCAGGAGGTCCAGTCAAGAGAGCTAGAGCTAAGAAGATGCAAGAAGCTTTTAAATGGCCTTATTGAGCAGATCTGGGTT